ATTTACTTACTTATTTGTGCATTTGTTCGTAAATACGTTATTGCCTTTTATTTATCCGGGCTTTGTTTTTCCTGCGGTTGCATTAAAAAACTTAGCTTGAAAATTACGTAGGTTTGTCTTACCCCTTAACGGTCGCATTGCTTTGAAAAATGGTTTTTATAACAAGGTAGTCGTTTTTCACACAAGCGTTCTTAGCAAAATTTTATTTCAGGAATCTATTGAGGACGTTATATGTAGAATGCGTACTGAGTTTGAGCGGATGCTGTCTGTTTTAGGAGCAACAGAACGGTATTCAATTTGTCTCGCTTCTGAGGAATTGAAGGTTCTCATGATTTTTTTTTAGAAATAGTACAGCTTTTCTTATGAAACTTATGAACGCTGAACATTTTTAGTTAAATTTATTTTTTAGGTTCATCAAACCCATTTATATGACCCTAAATTACATGAAAATCTGTTCTTGGCAAAGGCGATTACAGCCCTTTTGCGATCACAGTTCCACTGTGTTATTGTCGGCGACGAGCGCAGGATGGTGACAAAGGTTCACTTAGTGTTAACAAAATGCATTCAGCTTTTTAGTTTTTCCTTAGGACAAATTTATTTCAGTCGCGTATCGTCCTATTTTATTGGTGAGAGATTATGTTTTTGTTGGATGAACTTATTGTACTGGTTTAGATCTTTAATACGTTGAGTTTGTTTGTACCTGACGAGAGCCGATGGTGTAGTTTGAAGGGGTGCAAGCACGTCTATTCGCCCTATCTAAGGCTTCAAATAATTAATCGCGTATGTTTTATTTTCCTTATCTAGAAGTGTCTTTTCGTAGGAGTTATTTAATGTTATTAGTTCTTCTGAGCAAGATTTTACATCATTTAAGTACGAATAAGAGAACTTGTAGAGTGAATTGCCATTGGTCATTACTGCTGGTGTTGAATCTCATTGGCCTATAGCAGTGATTGACGTTGATAAACAGTTGGTCTGTATTTCCTCGAATTACCTTAAACATCGTAAAATAAAGCAACTACGACAGAGGAATGATGTTGCGGCGATCTTGCTTTCTGCTGGTATGGACGTGGAAATGGCCGATCCAAGACAGAACAAACTGTTAGTCACATGAGTATCCCTCTTGCGTTAGACTTAATTGGGCCTTTTTTTTCTTTCTTGACATTTGTCTAATAATTATTCTTTTTTGTTTCTATTCATTTTTGGTTTTCAAGAATTCGCTTACTAATTTGGAGTACTTTGAAAATTTTAATTCAAACTGTATCTGTTTTCCAGTGAGCTTCGGAAATGTCGTGCCAGCGGTTTAGTGGTCGATTTCCTCGGCAAAATGGATTTTCTACCATATGAGCGAAATGCGCGGATAGGATTTATTCGTCAGTTTTTGCTGAGTGTAGAGAACCGTGCTAGAGCATTTATCACGTACGTGCGAGATGCGAGGTTAGAGAATGGATTCTGAATTTTACATTTTAGGTTTCCAATAAGTACTTAACTGTTTGATTTAATAGGCAGTTAATTGTTTGCTGGAGCAAGCAGTAAAGCTGCACAGCTTTTGATAGTCTAAGTCATTTCTTTTTAAAAAACCTTATGGCGTTTGATAATTGGCTGGGATATTGTGTTTCCAAAGTTTTTTTCGTGCTTATGTATTTTGACTTAAAATTCTTCGTACAAGTTTAAAATACTAAGCATTGTAGTTCAAACTTTGTTCTTCTGTTTCTAAGACCACCTGATTTGGCAGGAAAGAGTCTGGTTTTTGGTTGGGATGTATGGGAATCTTATAGTGCTACTGCTTGGGAGCGATGAGTTCATTTATTGCGGTATTTCAAACCCTTAAAAATGAGTGCCAGTAAATTTACATGATCTGTCACGCAGAGGTAATACCACTGCTTTTTTACACAAGTTTTCTTGCGAATTTGAGGAAGATTATGGTTTTAACAGAGGGATTAATTGGTTTGAGGTCTCTCAGTAGAATTGGTAGGTAAGGTGAAGAGGACTTTCTGAGTCTAAAAGGGCGGGCTTGTTTTTATGCTGCAGTTGTCATTAAATTTCACTTCGTTAGTGGATGGATTTTTATAAGTGGCTTCTCATTTTGTTCTCTTTTTCTTTTTAAATTTTTCAAAACTACTTTTTTATGAGCTCTGTGCTGCAAATTTCGTATCGTGATGATAATTTAGTTGACTGGGGCGTTTTGTAATGTGGTTTTTTTCCTTAAACTTTTTTGTATTTTAAGCCAGCCAAACCTTACGGACAAGTCAAGTGCTGTAAGTTGTAAGTGGAATTTGAATGCCGCCCGTCGCGCCCTTGATTTGACTTCAGAATCTTTGTTCAGCATTATTCTTGCTGAAGCAGAGAGACTAAAAGCGGGTATTGCTGACTTCATTTGTGACACTCGAACTCACTGAACTGTTATTCAGTGTTTTGTATATTTCTGTACAGTTTAAGCTAATAATCTATTTGTACGTTTTGTATTTTATACACCATTTAAAAATTTTGTAGGAGAAAATTTTTGTTAATAACTAAATACGTTGAATCGTTTATTTAACTTTTTGGTCTGTTTTCACTAATAATGTACAGCAACGTCATTTATGAAAGAAGTTTGTCTTATCTTCATTGTTTCTCACGGTATAATAATGTTATGCACAGTGGGAGTTGTTAGTCTGAGGATGTCATAATGTAAAAATGATTATATCGATGAAATGGCTGTTGGGATTGTTTCGCTTGTTTTCCATGTCTTTTAATTAATGTCAGAATTCAGGAAATTGGTTGCTTTTACTTGTGTTTCACTTTATTAGTAGGGTTGCTTGTTTCCTCTCCTGGTTTTATAAGTGGGAGCGGTTTCTTCCGTAGAGGGAGGCCCTATTTATTAGCCTGATGCTTTCTTTATTATTGTACGGCTTTAGACGTGCTTCTTTTGTTCCATCTGATCTCCTAAGTCTGCCTTTATTTTGATACTATCTTGATTTTAAACGTTGAAAATGTTATACGTGGTGACAATCTTCGCAGTTTTCAGGTAGAATTTTTGCTTGCGCTACAATTTTAGTTCTTTTTAAATTCGACGTTTACGTTTGGTGCCGTGATCTGGAATTTGCTGGTTGTGGTGCGGAAACTAAAGTTTACCTATGTGTTTTCAGTTCCATAGAGTGTAGCCGATGGCTTTGAATTGAAATCTCGTAGGATTGCTAGTTTTGTGAGCAGAGGATATGTGACTAGAAGCAGTGGAACTCCAGTATTTGCAGAATTCAGCTTTTTTTTCTATTTACTTTATGAATGTGGGTGTATTGAAGTTTTAGAGTAATGAATGTGACAGGTTTTAGGTGGGGAGATTAAATTGGTGATTTCAAGTTTTTTGAAGCTTGTAGATGGCGAGTGGGAGAACGTGAGTGATTTTAGGCGATGCTGGGACGTTAGGTAAACGGCAGACTTCGCATCACAATAGCATATGCGTGTCTGTGATATGCTGCGCTGTTCTGGCGTATACTTTGTTCTGCTATTATGATTTATGAAACTGAATTTTATCACTTTAATATTTGCGTCCTTATTTCCAGTTCTTCGTTTTCTTTTTGGAGGTTTTAAAAATTTAAGAATTTACAATTCTATATTAATAGGTATTTGGGTTGGTTTTTTTCACCTTCTCTAAAATTTTGCTAGTGAGAGGTGGTGGAAGGCACTATATACATTGGTCAGTAAAACTAACTGTTCTTGTTTCAGCTTTACTGTTTCACTTTGGAAGTGAGTTTTACTGGGGCTTCGTTTTGCACTTGTACTTCGTACGTTAATGCATTTCATGGATACTTTGACGGGTTAAAGACGTGAAGGTTTTGACCTGTTTAGTAGTCTTGAGCTTTTTTTTCTTAAAAGATATCCGCGTACACCGCGGAGAGATGCTTTTGACGCCGTGTTTCAGTTACCAGTTGACTTTAAATAACAAATGTCGTCTTGTTGATTTCGTGGTCATCTGTTGTACATAGGTTGTGCGGAACTTAATATCATTCTGTCTGTTTATTTAACAAATCTATAGAAGTAAAATCTTATGGAAATTGCTTTCCCTACAGAAGTACCTGTTGTTCTGCAAGTACATGGCTAATACTCTTACCTAGAGTTCGCCCCTTTGTTTAAAAAATTTCTGCAATTACTACAAGTGCTAGAGGCTAAGTGGCTTCAACTTTGAAAAAGCTTCCAAGTTCTTACAGTTGTGGCAGGGGTACTTTCGCGAAATGCAGGATTTAGTCCGCTCATATATGCAGCTTTTAACACTAGGATTCTTTGATTGGTAGTAGGGGCACAAGACCGAGCATGT